ACTATATTCAAGAATTGCTCTTAAGTAATGCTTTGCTATTTAGTAGTATAGTAATTGTTATCGTATGAGAGGTAAGACTATGATTAATTATACATATACAGTGCACCCTCCAATTCCAATTCGGGATCTTTTTCAAAAAACCAAATAACAATTGTCTATTGTTTAAACATAAAGCTACGGTAACCCTCTATGTGGAGACTGAACCACGGGACCACTCCACCTTTTCAGGTCTGGAATTGGAGGGCGAACTGCATTTATATACCTGAACTTGTAACAGCCAATCAACCAGTATCTCTCGAACAGTCTTGGTCATACCCTCATGTTTATCAAGGTAATTGGTTGGAAGTATAGCTTCTTTCTCCTTTTGCTGTCAATTTAAATCAAAACAAAGTACAAGCGAATGAACGTAATAATGATATTTACTGTATAGATTTTATTTATCTCGAATTAAAGATGGTAATCAATTAAGAAATTGTATAGTGTGGTAAAGTTGTAGGTCTAATGTCAGTGAAGTTTACTTGTTTCTCATTATAATTTGCTAACGGTAAGTTTTATTTCTAGAAACACTCGGCTGATTGATAAATCTGATTGATTAATAAATCTGTTTAGCTCTGATGAGGAGCTCTAGAAACACTCGGCTGATAGATTAATTGGATTGATTAATAGATCTTTCTTGTATGGGCGGCCGTTATTGTCAATATACTTTACTGCCTCTATTATACTGCCCTCATCGGACCTTTCGAGATTACGAGAACTTGTTTGTTTTAATTGAAGTTGCTAGTGCTTTAATACCAGAAAGACGTATACAGGTCTCCCTCCAATCAAATAACAGTTTTGGGAACGGGGTTCCAATTGTATTTAATCGTTTTGGTCTATACTTTTAATGATAAAGATGAAAAACCTTTATAGTATTGGTACCACAGCAAGGGTAAAATATGGACCAAGTATTTTTACATTCCACAGGAAGATACCCTCCGTAAATTGTATAAAAATGTTCTTTTGCCGTCGAAAATTGAAATATAGCACAGTTATTAAATGTCTGATTAATTTTAAGTGATAAAATAAATTTCAATTATTATTTGAAATTTTCCGTGTAACGCTTTAGGCCTGGATTTCTCCAATGATGCGATATGCGACAAGCGACTGGTTTGGCAATAAAAGCACACATTGTCATCTATTTTGTAGTACTCAGATATAGGCCTACTGTTAGCAGTTATGCAAGCCCAATATAACTTACCTTATGATATAATAGAATGTCGTCAACATAGGGTGACCATTCCAGTGAGTCGATATAATTATGCCTCCTTAATTGTATTGGAAATTTTGTATTATTATTGCCATCGCCACCATCATTACAATTGAGGCATCCTGCTCTTCCGTCGGATTTCTTACAACAAATATTTTTAACAACACTATTTATAGTTGATAAGTCGATGTCACACGTTGAATCTATAAAATGATTAAATACACAAAATAGAGCGAGAGCTTTATAATGATGTCGACATTATTGATGACACCAACAACAATAATAATTACCGTATAGTTTTTATTTTCTTTTTTAGTTTTGTGATGATGAAAATGATGATGATGATAAAGATGCTGATGACTGAAACAATGATGGTGACAAATATACTGATGTTGATGATAATAATGACGATCTACGGACAATGATGATAAAAACGATGGTGGTGACGATGACGATGTGATGATGACGGCAATGATGTCGGCAATGAAGGTGATTATGATGATGACGATGATGATGTGATGACAGGGGTGGCGCCAGGATTTATTTGCCTGACGGGGGGGGGGGGGGGGGGCGAGGCCCTGACGAGGTGTCAAATTTCCCCGACGAAAGCAAAGTGGACGTGGTCGAGCTTCGATTAAAAGGTTCCGAAGCCCCCCGAAAATTTCGACAATTTAGGGGTTTCAAAGGCTTATTTAATCGATTTTAGAGTCTACTAATATGTAAAAAATACATATAATATTTTTTTCTCCCCGACGAATTGTGCTTTTTCTCCCCG